CAGTTCAGTAGCTTGGTACAGCCATCGCTAAAGGTGGATGTGCTTGAATAAATTAAAGGATTTATTTTGGAGTTTTATGGATGCTTCCTGTAGAATCAGTTTAAGTAGTGTATGTTTTCTTTTTTCTATCTAGTTTTCTTTCTTGTTGCGACTTCAAAATGTAACATTTCAGATGTTTTAAATCACCAAAATTTATTTCCATGGTAAATAAAAATGATATTATCTCTAAAACATATTCACCCTCACACATAAATTTATGGAGAGGGATTATTTATAAGAGTGTGGTATCAAATTCCACCTTAGCCCCTTATCTCAAAAGTAGTTTTCACCTCATAAGGTTATGAGGATTAAATGAGTTGATACAGGTAAAGTACCCAGAACAGGGCCTGGCTGGCACATAGGAAGCACCATGAAAATCTATGATCTTCTTATTAAAAAATTAGTGTGCAGAATAATGTGAATAGTATGATACCATTGGTTAAAAAGGAGGTTTGGATATATATCTAGAAACCAGTGGATAAAGAATATTTCTGGGAGAATCAACAAAACTGGAAATTGTTTCTTTGGGAAAGGGATTCTGGGGTGGGTAGAACAAATTTTTTATCAACTTTTGAACTTTTTTTTTTAAAACCATATATTTTTAAAATAATGCCATGTTTCAAGTAATTTAAGATATTCTACATTAAGATGAGAATCTATATTCTTTTCAGATGGCCCTGCTGCAGCACCAGTGACTAATGGGAACACCACAGTGCCAGCCCTGAACGATGATCTGGACATCTTTGGACCGATGATTTCTAATCCCTTACCTGCAACTGTCATGCCCCCAGCTCAGGTATGTGATAAGAATATGGTTTTATATGGTCGCTGCTTATTTTCTTTTTGAAAAGTTTTAAAATTTCAATTTTGGAAGAATTGTTTCTGAGCAGTAACTGATTTGAAAGTCTCCTGTTCTTTAGGGCAGGGTTTTGCAAGCTAAGCTGCTGCTTGTTTTTGCAAATAAAGTTTTATTGCCACACAGCCACTCCCACTAGTTTACATACTGTGCGTGGCTGCTTTCCTGCTACAAAAGCAAGGTTAAATGTTAACAGAGAATGTATGACCCACAAAACCTAAAATATTTACTATCTTTAAAGTTCTAACCCTTGCTTTAGAGAAACAACAGTGTTTAGAATGAATAAGTAGAAAAACCCTGACTACCTCAACTTTTCCTGAGATCAAGAGGTCACTTACCTCAGAGCTTTTAAAACTGTGGTTGTTTGTAAATATTGACTGCAGAAGTTGTAGCAAATTCAGTACTCATTGTCTTTTTAAACTAAAGGCAGAATGAAGGTAAATTATGTTTTAAATTAGCCTTAAAATCTTTTTTTTTTTAATTGATTTAAAAAATATCTAGAACAGTAATAATAAAGATCAGGATATTCTAAAAGTATTAATGGTGAAGAGCTTTCGCCTTCTTAACAGTACATGGAATTTCTGTAATGTGAAATATATGAACTTTCAGGAAACAAATTACTCTTAAGCATACAACATTACGATTCTAAGTTTATACTTTACAAATAACCAGTTTGTACAGCATAATTTTTTAGATAAAATATTTCCTTTTTTATTTAAAAAAACTGAGTCAAATCTGAATTGTTCTGATGGAGAGTTTTAATAAGAAAAAGTCAGTGCCTTATAAGACTAGTAGCATATTTGTGTTGCACATATTTATTGTTATTATGAGTCATTATATAGTTACCATTAGAATGAATAAGTAGATTTAAGAATAATTTATTTAAATGGATCTTCATCGAAATTGTCTGTACAGTAGTATTTATTTTCAGCAAAATAGGTTATTTTATGGCTTTGCCCCTTCTTCCCCTCCTATAACATACATAAAAAAGAGAGACAGTATTGTTACTGTTGTTTCAACAGTAATTAACATTAATTACCTTACAAATTTGTACAGGTGTACGTGTACATGTGATAATAAAAATTGTCTAATATTGCGTCTTTGGAAAGAAGTGTCTAGAATCTTTGACAATCAGAATGTGAAAAGCAATTTTAGTCTGGCATTGTAGTGTGGCTGTTATACCCGCTAGTCTTGTTTAGCAGTCACTGGGGTCTGACGGTTGCTTTGCATCTGCTTAGAGAGTTAGACCCCCACCTTTGAGGTTTCAGCGTACGTCATGTGTTCTGTTCGATATTAAAGCAGCAAGTAGAACAATGCAGACTTCATATAATTCTTAAGCACAAGTAGTGCCGCGACAAGGAGTGTAGCCTCTGGCTTTAGGAGGGCTGGGGGCTGGCCTTCAGGCTTCGGGCATTCTGAGCAGTACCTGGTAGGAGATAGGGTTAATTTTTAAAATCATATCTAATACTTCTTTTGGAACATTTTTATATTGAGCACTGGTTAGATTGTGCCAGTTATGTTGAGCTCTTTATTTGGTGAACAGTAGCATCTTTCATCTAAACTTCATGTAGAGATTAAAATCCAGACATATTTTCAAAATAACGACTTTGAAAATGGGGGATGGTGCTGAAAGTACAGATTTTATGCATATATTGCTACTATGTAATTTACTTTTTTTGGTGGGTTTTTAATACGTGAAATTGAACTCAAACTAGTTTTGGACACCAAGATTTTAAATTCTTCTGAACCCTGTATTCGTTCACTCCTTGTGTTAATTTCTAAGTATATACAAATTCTGAGAATTTGTATTCTAGTGAAAGATTTTCTAACTTATGAATATGAAATAGATTGATTTTACCATCTGCCTTACCTGAGTGGGGTCTAGTCTTTACTAAAGAGAGTTAGAAGTATGATGTGTCTTGGGGGCTAGGGAGAAGCAGTTCCAGAGTCCTCAATGGTTGACATGGAGAAACCCCTTTCCTGTTCTTTCATATACATATACATATACATACACCAACAGTAAGTACCTAGACATACACAAGGGCTGAGTCTTGTTTTTTCTTGGTTAAGCCTTGGGGGCCCAGAAGGCCAAAGAGCCTTGGGTTAGAGGCTCTGCTGCTTCCTGAAGTGTAATGACAGGCAGAAGTTGTTCTCTTTATCCTGGGGTCGTAGTGCTGGTGAGTGAAGCACCAAAAAGTAAGTGGACATTTGAGTGTTTACTAGCCCTGCTGATAGGTTTGACTGTTTTTAGATTGTGTCCTTGTTGAGGTAGATGTTTCATATTACGATGTTTACAGCATGTGAATATCAGTCTGCTCTACTATGAGACTGGAATCATAGCTTCCCAACATTTTGGGTTTTCTTCTAGTTCTCTGTCATCCACAGGGAATAGTTCCCAGGGTTTTGAGCAGAATTTTAGATTGAACAGATACTAAGTGTGATAAAAAGATCACTGAGTGTTGTAGTTGCTTTGTTTTATAAACAATATTGACAATAAACACCAAGTACTTAATCCAACCGTTGTTCAGAACACTTCCTGTGATCACCAAGCTTATCCCCAGTTTACAGGAAAGAGACTGAAAGGAGAAGTTAAGTGACATGTCTGAGTTTACCACAGAAAGTCCTGGGGGCAGGCTCTAGTCCTGGCAGACAGGCTCCAGCCCATGCTTTTAGCTCCATGATCTGCTGCTGCTTCATTGGTAGCTTAGATATATTTTATTCAAGGATATTGTTATATTTATTCCATCATATCTAATTTCTTACATAATTGAATTTTTGCAAAAATTAAGTGGCTTTTGTCGATTATAATTCTTGCTTAGTCCTAAGATTCAAAATATTGTTCCGTGTAGTTTACAGGTACAATGTTTGGATAGTAACTTATTGCATGGTGTTCTAGAAGGACACTAAATATTTGAGTATTTGACACCTTATTCTCTAGTGTGAGAAGAATCAGCTGGCTTTTACTAGTCTTCATAGAATTCTTTGAAACTCTTTTCATGTTCAAAACAAGTTCATATAACAAATGTGAATGTGATTTAATGACTACAGAAATGATTAAGGTTAGCAGTTGTGATTGTATAATACTGTATGCAAGATATGAGGTTAAGTGAAAATGTTTGTTTCATATTAAATATCTACGTTTATTTGTATTTGTGTTCATTTGCCCCCTTTTCCAAAAGTGAAGTACAGCATATGCTGAGACTATAGATGGTCAGAGTTTTGCTGTACCTTCATTTCTGGATAGATTAGAAGCAGTCTAATGTTGTGGTTAAAACTGATCTAGATTAGATGTATAAAAATCTTATGATGCAAATTTTAAAAAGATAAAGTATTTTAAGTAACCACTGAAAATCCTCTTATAGTCTGTTGTAGTTGTAGAAATGTTTTTTATTCCAAAGGATACCAGTTTCTTGAAGCAGTAGTTGCTATGGAGTGGTGGTCCTCATACCGCTGCCTTGTCTGTAACTATTGTTGAACCCATTGTATTCAGGATTTATGAGCAAAAACTTGGCATCACCTTAGGTAGTAAATGCAACTTACCGTGAAAATGCTTCAGTCTACCTCTTTTCCATTAACAGATTTAAGAAGTACTGCCTTTAGATGTTTTTGTATGGGCTTGTGAGTGATCCTCTTGAAAGGCACCATTTTACCTTCTACAGTTGTTTGATTTCTAATTCTATAACTTTATTGGGATTTTAAGTAATGGATAAGCTGTGCTTTACTATGTAGAATTTGATAGCTTATTTTGGTGTTTGTCTCAGGGGACATCCTCTGCATCAGCAGCTGCAAGCCTGTCTACAGTAACATCTGGGGATCTGGATCTATTCACTGAGCAGACTACAAAATCAGAAGAAGTGGCAAAGAAACAACTTTCCAAAGACTCCATCTTATCTCTGTATGGCACAGGAACCATTCAACAGCAAAGTACTCCTGGTAATGAATTTTGATATCTGCTTTCAGTGACATTACTAGAAGTACATTTTTTTGTAATTATAAGTTTATATATCTTCTTTATTGTTCCATGTAGTAAGTGATTTTGTTGTTGTAGTTTGTACAATTATGAAGCTGAAATGAATGAGCATTAGAATTAAAAAATTAAGAGGCATTTACAGGATTAACAGAACTTTATTTGGAATTAACAAGCTGTTCATAGATCACTATTTCACAAGCTTACAGGACACAGATTATCTTTGATGAATTATTGAAACTTGATTTGCATGAAGTTTATGACTTTGTGTACAGTATATTTTCTGTGAAGATAAGCAATCTTCAGTTACCACACAGATTCCAAAAGATCTATGAATTTTTTTGTAATTATAACAAAATATTAGCCTAAGGCTTATTGTTTACAGAGTGTTAATCTTTCAGACCATTTCCTTTAAAATAATGAGCTGCATTTCACATACAAGCTAAAACTGTGTGGCACCCACCACATCCACTGAAGCCAGATATAATCAGCTCTCACTTGCCTGTGTTTGGTATTGGGAGACCAGTGGTACAAGTCAGCAAAAAAACAGTGTATGATGTCATGCTACATAGTTTGGTCTTCACAATGGAAGGTATTTTGTGTGGGTGTTGCGTAGGATTTACATTTCTTAAGTAAATTTACTTAGGTTAATAATTGATTTGTCTGCATTCTAGAAATAACCAGCTCTCAGGGTTTAGGTGTGGGTTGGTCTGAGTAGTAGGAGCAGCCAAACTGGAATGAAAATGTTTGCTGTGAGTAGTTCAGAAAGACAGTTTCCTGTGATTATAGTGGTGAGTGCAACTACTCATGATAGCTCTGTCTTCATTCATTTTCTTTTTGTGGTGCAGGTGTGTTTATGGGAACCACAAATATATCATTTACCTCACAAGCACCAGCTGCATTTCAGGGTTTTCCATCGATGGGTGTACCTGTGGCTGCAGCTCCTGGCCTTATAGGAAACGTGATGGGGCAAAGTCCAAGCATGATGGTGGGCATGCCCATGCCCAATGGGTTTATGGGAAATGCACAAACTGGTGTGATGCCACTTCCTCAAAATGTTGTTGGCCCCCAAGGAGGAATCGTGGGACAAATGGGTGCACCCCAGAGTAAGTTTGGCCTGCCGCAAGCTCAGCAGCCCCAGTGGAGCCTCTCACAGGTAGGGGTCATTTAATTTCTAGCTTCTCTCAAATCAAAGAAACCAGATTTATTTTCTAAATCATTTTTTTTTAAGTCTTGAGATTTGGCAGAAAGAGTTTAATAGGGATAATATGTATAAGGTCAAAAGTATCTATAAATATTATGAAGTTGTATCAGATAGACAAATGCTGTGTTATTAGTCCTGTTTTAGAGTATTCTGTAAAGAAAGGTTAAATGTCTTTCACTTCAAATTGTAATGTAACCCTAATGGTGAACACCCCTAATCTGTTTGCTAATGGCCAGAAATTATCTTAGCCATCATGAAAGACTTCCTTTCTGCCACCTCTGAGGTTAGCACTAAGCTTTACTCAGCTTACTGGTGGGGCATTTTTTACAGCTCACGTAGACAACTAATCTTCATTAATAATTTTGGGGTCTGTTATTAGAAAAAAAATCTAGTCTCATATTCTCAAAGCACTATTTTATGAGGGATCTGAGCCTATTTTTCAGGTCATATGGTTACTGCCCCATGGCTCTGTAAAAATTATTTTTGTTCAAAAACCTTTGTAAAGTTGTATTTTCTTTTTACATACCCTGTGATGACTTTTATGGTTTAAAAGAGTACAAAAAGATTCAGTTTCCATAAGGTGTGAACAAGACATCCCCTCATATTGTAAAATCCTATTTCTACCTACGTTATCAACTTCTGTTTCGGGTGCTCTGTTCTGACTTTTCTCTAGCTGCACAGTAAAGGCTCTTAGATAGGTTCATGCTCCCACTCCTCTTCCTTTTATACTTCCCATTGATGTTGCTCCAGCATTTTGGCAATCTTGGTTTCTGTGTGGTCACTTGTTTTACCTTTAGAGCATTCACGGAATAGTCTAGAGTGATTTCTAACATTAGCACAATCACTACCTATCCCAATTAATTTTGCTAACACCATTTACCAGAATATAGGCAAGAGATTGGTCTTTACCCATTGCAAATCTAAAAAATTGTATGTGCCAAATGTCAGTCACATGGTCAACATGCTGAAGCACACCTAGCCCAGTGTTAAGGTGCTAGATGAACCAGGAAGGAGTTAACATTCGCTCTTACTTCCAAATAATGCAGAACGGTGATGCTGTTCTTCAGCACTCCATCAGTGGAATCTACTGGCCAACGGCAAGGTGGTTAAGATGTCCTTTAGTAGGTATGAAGATGTGATCTGCTCCTTCAGACACTTATGCCTGATTAGTGATGTAGTTCATGTTAGTGTCTTTGAAACTGTAAATAAGTCAACTATATTAAATTGGGAACACAGTCTAACTCTGAGTGTAAGTTTTAAATCCAATCTATATACTAAATCTTGCTTTTCCTTCTCTTATCACCAGTTTTGGAAGTAAGAGAACCACAGGGTTAAGATGCTTTTATATATATATATATATATATATATTTGACTCTAAAAGAAAAATACATGTAATCTTATACTTTACTGCATATAATGAAAATAAATTTTAGATGTTTATGTTGGTAGATCAGCAAGAGAAATAAATGCTTTATGACCACTTTTTAAATATTTAGGAAGTATTTAGAGCCATTTAAGATTTTAACAGAATAACAGCTATCATACAAAGTTTATAGGATAACTTTAGACTATTTTACTTTCTAAAATTTTCTTACTCATTAGTAGTAAAGCACAACATCGTAGTGTAGTTGAAAGTTAGAGTAACTGACTCATTATATACCCAGATACAAATTCCAAGATTGCTTTGGTATTTTTTTTAAGTTGTGGTTAATCTTTGGGGAATTGAATCTAGAAAGTAGATAAATAAAGAACAAGAAGGGAACAAAGTAGCTATTTACTTTAAGAAATGTTTGTATGTTACTTTGTTTTTATTCCAGTGCTTGGACTAGTTGTCACATTAATAAAAATATGATCAATTATGTGGCTAAAGAAACAAGAATTAGAAATGAAGTAAGCCTCTTGAACTAAGTCTTTTGTGTGTTTCACAGATGAATCAACAAATGGCTGGCATGAGTATCAGTAGTGCAACCCCTACTGCGGGTTTTGGCCAGCCCCCCAGCACAACAGCAGGATGGTCTGGAAGCTCATCGGGTCAGACTCTCAGCACACAACTATGGAAATGAAAACTGCAATACAAGTTTCATCCAGAACTACCACCTGACATTCCTTGCTAAAATGCATCTAGTTCCCCTGTTTATTCATATACATATTTTTTTTCTTTTTACCCATTTGTTCATATTAAGAATGATCTGATTGACCGTGTTGGTCTGTACTGATTAAATTTGATGTGGTGAAAAGCAAGTTGATAAACCATTTTATGTCAAGGGCAGCTTTGTTCATATTTCCCATGATTTCATATACTGCATTACTTGAGAAGCTGCTCAACTTGCAAAATCAGTTTTCCTGTCAATAAAATTATAGCTCTAATGTTTGCATATAAGGGAAGTAGTTATCATGTTAGTAATACCTCTAACAGTATAAACCCCATCCCCAAATTAGCCAGTAATCCTGTAGGAAGGTACTGTATGATCAAATGTTTAATCATATAAATAGAATGTAAATGTCTCACTGAGCACTGTTTTCTAGTGTATCAAAAATTCTTTTATTTCATCATTCACTTCACTGTGCTGTTGTTATGATGTGCTTAACAGGGAACGTGGTTAGTGAAAGGAAGATAAACCTGGATGTTACTCCAAAACTTAGTTTAATGAATGTTTAAAGAATTCAAATTTTATCTGCCTTTCGTGTAATTTGGATCTCTTCTTAATGTACATAGTGCTAACATGAAGACCTTTTCTGCACTATATGCAAACAGGGTAACTAAAAGCCACTTTGAATCCTTGAAGGTATATCCAGGTTTATGACAGTAATTGTGTTTACATTTTATGGTGCCTAGTATTGATAAAATGTTATTTCCCTATATTAAACAGATGAATCCATAGACCTTTTCATTTGTGGGTTATTTCCTATGATGTATACTGCCACTAACCTTCCAAAGATTAATGTTGCACAGTCAGGAATCAGGAATGTTTACCTGATAAAATACTTGTCTGTTTTTAAAACCTGTTCAGGTCTACTAATTATAAGGGAAAATTAGAGAAAAAAAAATATATATATAAGATACTCAGAGTGGTATCTTGCAGTATCAGTACTGTACAAAAATCTTCCAATTTAGTTGTAGAGAAAACATGCAGAACAAATGACGACAAAACATACATTTTGTACCGTCCAATTAGCTTATGTTAACGGATAAGCTCCATGTAAACAAATGTCCATCCAGATGACAAGAAAGGCTTTTGTACTGAAGTAAAACAGACAATACCTGAATGCTCCGCAGCCTCAACCCCAAACATCCTCTTCCATATGGATCCACTGGCTGGGTAAAACTGTACCAGTTGCTGCTTCAATTTATACCTCAATTTTCACTGTGTCCAGGTGGTACTTTGGCTCGTTGGCTAGATTAACCTTCTCTGTCCGAGTGTGCCACACGAGAACCTGAAGGGGAAGGAAACAGCTTGGGTATCACATTCTTGATGCTGACGCTTGAGGTCAGGGAGCACAAGTGAAATGAATACCTTAGTGCAGTTATTTGCTTTCGGTTCCAGTTCTTCCACCGTTGTTATCTGTTTGAGAAAATCAGATTCTTGCATCCCTGGCTGGGATCCACGACGCTTAAATACAGCTTTTGGATTGGACAAGATGACCTGAAGACTTACAGCAAATCCTTTGTGAAAAGTAAAAAAAAAAAAAAAAAACCAAACTTTAAAATACTGGTGTACTTCTCTTTTTTCTGTGTAATTTTGGTGACATCAAAAACAATTTTTAAAATACCTACTGTGTGTCAGGTCTTGGTTTACAAAGTTGAACAGGAACATTACCTGTATTACAGTCTCAAAGGAAAATCAATCATTACAATATTGTACATTCCACATAGGGATGTACACAGGAGCATCTATGCGAAATATGAAGGTTAGTCTGTTTTAAGGGTGGATAATGTTTTTGGCAGAGGGATATAAGATGGCCAAGTAGGAGCAGCTCTGGATTGCAGCTCCCAGCGAGAGTGCGGAGGGTGAGTGGTCACCTTCCAGATGGATTTTTATTGCCCACAGACCAGGAGATTCCCAGGCAGAGGAGCGCCACTGGTTTCCAGCATGGCTGTTTTGGCCAGGTGTGGCAGGTCTCTGCACAAAAAGTCACATGGGTCCAGGCGCCATTTCAGCTGGCAAGTGGAGCACCTGGGAGACAGAGTCGCCCAGTCGACTGATAAAAAGGGGACTGAAACAGGGAACCAGGCCAGGAGATTCGCAGGCAGAAAAGCGCCACAAGTCTCTAGCGCAGCTGTTTGAGCTGGCGCAGTGGGTGTCTGCACAAAAACTCACACAAATCTGGGCGCCTTTTCAACTGGCGACTGATACGCCTGGGAGACAGAGTCACTCGTTCAACTGATAAAAAGGGGACTGAGACAGGGAGCCAGGTGATCAGGTTAAGCTGGTCCCACCCCCACAAAGACTGGCAATCTGAAACAGTCTGGACTGAGAGTTTCATAACAAGCACAGCTGAACCCAGGATGGTCCAGCTCTGTGGGGTAGGGGCATCCGCCATTACCGAGGCAGTCTGCCACTACTGAGATAGCCTGCCATTGCTGAGGCAGTCTGCTATTAACAAGGCAGCTCACCATTGCCGAGGCAGTCCGCCATTACAGAGGTGGGCCGCCATTGCCAAGGCAGTTCTAACTATACCCCTATAAACATGACTGCAGGGAAGTTCACATGGCAGCTGGGCAGAGCCCACAGCAGCTCAGCAACACCTCTGCTGGCAGACGACGACTAGGCTGCCTCCTCACTGGGCAGTGCATCCCTGAAAAGCAGCAGCACAACAGAAACATAAATAAAGCCCTATCTTCCCGGGACAGAGCACCTGGGGGAAAAAAAAAAAAGGTGGTTATGAGTTCTGCTGCAGCAGACTTAAACGTACCTGCCCAGCAGCTCTGAATGGAACAACAGAGCTCACAGCTTAGCACTTGAGCTCCTATAAAGGATGGACTGTCTCCTCAAGCAGCTCCCTGACCCCCATATATCCAAAGAGTCACCTCATAAAGGAGAGCTCAGACTGATCTGGTGGGTATCCTTCTGGGATAAGGATAGCAGAAGAAGAAACTGGCAGCAACCCTTACTGTTCTGCAGCTGCTACAGATGATCCCCAGGCAAGCAGGGCCTGGAGTGGACCTCTGCAGTCAGGGCAGAGGGGCCTGACTGTTAGAAGGAAAACTAAGAAACAGAAAGAAATAACTTCATCATCAACAAACTGGATGTCCACTCAGAGACCCCATTGGAAAGTCACCAGCTACAAAGACCACAGGTAAATTCACAAAGATGGGAAGAAATCAATGCAAAAAGGATGAAAACAATGAAAACCAGAACGCCTTGCCTCTTCCAAGGAATCACAACTCCTCACCAGCAAGGGAACAAAGCTGGATGGAGAATGAGTCTGATGAATTGACAGAAACAGGCTTCAGAAGATGGGTAATAAGAAACTTCTCTGAGCTAAAAGAACATGTTCTAACCCAATGCAAAGAAACTAAGAGCCTTGAAAAAGGTTTGATAAAATGCTAACAAGAATAAACAGCTTAGAGGGGAATATAAATGAATGGATGGACTGAAAAACAACACAAGAACTTCATGAAGCAAACACAAGCTTCAATAGCTGAATTGACCAAGCAGAAGAAAGGATATCAGCGATTGAAGATCAACTCAATGAAATAAAATGAGAAGGTAACATTAGAGAAAAAAGAGTAAAAAGAAACGAACAAGCCTTCAAGAAATACAGGATTATGTGAAAAGACCTAATCTACGTTTGATAGGTGTACCTGAATGCGACGAAGAGAATGAATCCAAGCTGGAAAACACTCTTCAGGATATTATCCAGGAAAACTTCCCCAACCTAGCAAGGCAGGCCAATATTCAAGTCCAGGAAATACAGAGAACACCACAAAGATATTCCTCAAGAAGAGCAACCCCAAGGCACATAATCGTCAGATTCACCAGGGTTGAAATGAAGGAGAAAATGCTAAGGGCAGCCAGAGAGAAAGGTAGGGTTACCCACAAAGGGAAGCCCATCAGACTCAGAGCAAATATCTCAGCAGAAACCCTACAAGCCAGAAGAGAGTGGGGACCAATATTCACCATCCTTTAATGAAAGAACTTTCAACCTAGAATTTCATATCCAGCCAAAGGAAGTTTCATAAGCAAAGGAGAAATAAAATCCTTTACAAACAAGCAATTACTGAGAGGTTTCATCACCACCAGGCCTGCTTTACAGGAGCTCCTGAAAGAAGCATTAAACATAGAAAGCAACAATCAGTACCAGCCACTCCAAAAACATACCAAATGGTAAAGAACATCAACACAATGAGGAAACTGCATCAATTAACTGGCAAAACAACCAGCTAGCATCAAAATGGCAGGATCAAATTCACACATAACAATATTAACCCTAAATGTAAATGGGCTAAATGCCCCAATCAAAAGACACAGACTAGCAAACTGTATAAAAAGTCAAAACCCATCAGTGTGCTGTATTCAGGAAACCCGTCTCACATGCGAGTATACACATAGGCTCAAAGGGATGGAGGAAGATTTACCAAGCAAATGGAGAGTAAAAAAAAAAAGGAGTTGCAATCCTAGTCTCTGATAAAATGTACTTTAAGCCAACAAAGATCAAAAGAGACAAGGATATTACATAATGGTAAAAGGATCAATGCAACAAGAAGAGCTAACCATCCTAAATATATATGCACCCAATACAGAAGCACCCAGATACATAAGCCAAGTTCTTAACAACCTACAAAGGGACTTGGACTTCCACACAATAATAGTGGGAGACTTTAACACCCCACTGTCAATATTAGATCAATGAGACAGAAAATTAACAAGGATATCCAGGACTTGAACTCAGACCTGGACCAAGCAAACCTAATAGACATATACAGAACTCTCCACCCCAAATCGATAGTATATACATTCTTCTCAGCACCACATCACACCTACTCTAAAATTGGCCACATAATCCAAAGTAAATCACTCCTCAGCAAATGCAAACAATGGAAATCATAGCAGTCTCACAGACCACAGTGCAATCAAGTTAGAACTCAGAATTCAGAAACTAACTCAGAACCGCACAGCTTCATGGAAACTGAAGAACTGGCTCTTGAATGTTGACTGGATAAACAATGAAATGAAGACAGAAATAAAGATGTTCCTTGAAACCAATGAGAACAAAGGCGAAATACCACAATCTCTGGGATACATTTAAAGCAGTGTCTAGAGGAAAATATATAGCAATAAATGCCCACATGAGAAGCAAGGAAAGATCTAAAATCGACACCCTATCATCAGAACTGACAGACCTAGAGGTGTAAGATCAATAAAAGTCAAAACCTAGCAGAAGACAAGAAAAAACTAAGATCAGAGCAGAACTGAAGGAGATAGAGACACAAAAAATCCCTTCAAAAAATCAGTAAATCCAGGAGCTGGTTTTTTGAAAAGATCAACAAAATAAGCAGACCACTAGCCAGATTAATAAAAAAGGAGAGAAGAATCAAATAGATGCAATAAAAAATGATAAAGGGGATATCGCCACAGATTCCACAGAAATTCAAACCACCATCAGAGAGTATTACAAACAACTTGATGCACATAAACCAGTAAACCTGGAAGAAATGGATAAATTCCTGGACACTTGCATACTCCCAAGCCTAAACCAGGAAGAAGTTGAAACCCTGAATAGACCAGTAACAAGGGCTGAAGTTGAGGCAGCAATTAAGAGCCTACCAAACAAAAAAGTCCAGGTCCAGTTAGGTTCACAGCTGAATTCTACCAGACATACAAAGAGGAGCTGGTACCACTCCTTCTGAAGCTATTCCAAACAATCAAAAAAGAGGGAATACTTCCCAAATCATTTTATGAGACCAACATCATCCTGATACCAAAACCCGGCAGAGACTCAACAAGAAAAGAAAACTTCAGGCCAATCTCCATGATGAACATAGATGCAAAAATCATCAATAATATACTGGCAAACCAATTGCAACAGCACATCAAAAAGCTTATCCATCACGATCAAGTAGGCTTAATCCCAGGGATGCAAGGCTAGTTCAACATAACGCAAGTCAATAAATGTAATTCACCACATAAACAGAACCAGAGACAAAAACCACATGATTATCTCAATAGATGCAGAGAAGGCCTTTGACAAAATTCAACAGCCCTTTATGCTAAAAACTCTCGTAAACTAGGTATTGATGAAATATATCTCAAAATAATAAAAGCTATTTACAACAAACCCACAGCCAATATCATACTGAATAGGCAAAAACTGGAAGAATTCCCTTTGAAATCTGGCACTAGACAAGGATACCCTCCGTCACCACTCATATTCAATACAGTATTGGAAGTTCTTGCCAGAGCAATCAGGCAAGAAAAAGAAAAAGGAGTATTCCCTTAGGAAAGGAGGAGTCAAATTGTCTCTATTTGCAGATGACATGACTGTATATTTAGAAGACCCTATCATCTCAGCCCAAAATCTCCTGAAACTAATAGGCAACTTCAGCAAAGTCTCAGGATACAAAATCGATGTGCAAAAATCACAAGCATTCCTATACACCAATAACAGACTTAAAAAGAGCCAATTCAATAACAAACTGCCATTCTCAATTGCTACAAAGAG